GTCTGCAGACAGTAAAGAGTTGTGTTCCCTTCTCGTCTGTAGAAACCAACTCTTCTTGTAAAGTCTGCTGTCGCAGCGGCGGCGGCGGCGGCGTCTGCGCTGCGTACCAGGACGTGACGGGCAGCTTCCTGTTCCTGCGTAAAGGGAAACCCTGCACCGTGGGCTTCTGTGACGGAGCGGTGAGTCCACATCGTCGTCTCTCACGAAAACCCCCCGACGCACTCGGCTTCACGTGATGCGTTTGTGTGCATGTGGTCTCTGCAGGGGAAGTGCATGAAGCAGGTCCAGGACGTGGTGGAGCGTCTGTGGGACTTCATCGATAAACTGGACATCAACACCTTCGGGACGTTTCTGGCCGACAACATCGTGGGCTCCGTGGTGGCGTTCTCGCTGCTGGTCTGGGTTCCCTTCAGCATCCTGGTCCACTGTGTGGTTAGTCCAGCTGACAAACATCCTCTAACGCTTCAGATCGACTTCTTTAACACTTTTATTTTATAACTCCAGACGACTAAACTGGACTTATTATCTGATTCTTTACTCAGAACTCTTTGTCTTCATCTTTCAGGACAAGAAGCTGGATAAACAGTATGAACACAACACCAAGTCTCTGTTCTTCCCCAGTGTGAGTATTTATTTACATATATTTATATAAATATATAAAAGTTTTTAGTTTCACTTCATTTCTATAAAAATCAAAAGATGATTCATGTGTATTAATATGTAAATATGTAAATACTAAATAAAAACCTGCATCCTCATGGACGTGTAATAAACATTTATTACATTTTACATATATATGTAATATATCACATATTACATTTATTACATTTATTATCACTATTTCTTATATTTTAAAATGAATAAGATGATTTATTAATGAAATAATTGTTAGCAGCTTTAGATCAGAAGTGAAAACAATGAAGACGGATCAAATGCTCGGGTTCGGAACATGCTGACTGACTGTTCATTTTCCCAGAATGCCGAGCTCCTGAGCAGCCTGGAGTCGGCATCAGTTCGGATCTTCAAACCTCCGACGTTCCCCACCAGCACCTCCTCCGCTGGGCTGCGTTTCCAGCCGTCCAGCCCCCAACAGACCAGCACCCCTCCGGCTCCAGGCCCCACCCCCGCCCCCTACTCCGCCCCTCTGGACAGCCCCCGCATGGCCACCATCCAGGAGGACCCCAGCTTCAACTCACACCTGGACCAGGAGGCTCTGGAGGAGGCGTTCGGCCGGCCGCCGGGGTCGACTCAGCGCTCCTTCGAGGACCTGACGGAGAAAAGTGTAACGAGTCGAAGCGGGAAGACGTCCATGTTCAGAATGCAGAGACAACATCAGATAGACACCAAGGAGACGCAGTGCTGAGATGACACACCTGAGGAGAGAGGACACACACCTGGAGAGAGTCTCATGATTTTATATTTCGTCTGTATGAATTCATGTTTGTTATTTAACTTATTAAAGTAAAACATTCTTTGTTTCGTGAAGAAGAATATTTTCTGTATTTGTTAGACATTAAATTAAAGCGTTAATGAGCTCGGCTGCTTCTCATGAACTCTCTTTGTGTCCAAAGGAATAATTGTCAGAATCATTAATTGTTAAAAGCCAAACACACACTAATCGATTAAATACTCAACATTCATCAAAACAAACCTTCACATTTGTGCTGCTTTAAAGTACAAGTACCTTAATTTGTACTTCAGTAACTTATCACGAGTACTCGTATCTTTTGTTTCCTTTGCTGTACTTTCATGTTTTTATTCATAGTAACGTGAGATCAACTTAATATAAATATAAAACTGTTAAATGTTTAAATCCGACACGTTTCAAATCACCACTCAGGCTTTTATTGTGGTAACACCTGTGTACTTGTGTCGTTTTATTTCTATATTAATCCATACTACATGTTGTTAAATGACAGAACTGTGCCTTCTCTTCTTCTGTGGTATTCAGAAGCACTAGTCAGTATTTGTTGTATATTACAGACTATCACTGATGTTCGTCTCGTCACCGTGTTTTCAAAATAAGATGTTTTTACTGACTATTGTCATGTGACGAAAACTCTGAAATAAAGTGGTTGAATTCTTCTTCAGGATGCCTGCGAGATGTTTTTATACTCGCAGTCCATGAGCAGATAAACTCATTATGAAAATCAGGATTTCTTCTCGTGTTTGTTGTTGTCTCAGAACAAAAACAAACTTTTTTCTCTGTTGACAAACTTTATTTAGTTTTTACAGATCAAAGTACAAAATCAATCAGCTGCAGATCGTTGATTCCTTTGGAATCAGGTTTCACAACAAAGAGTTTCTCTTTGTTAAAGGAGGGAAACGAGGACCCCCGCTGGTGACATCACCGTCAGAAGGCGGGGCTTAGTGCGTCGTAGAGTCGGTGGACGGCGACCTCCACCATCTCCCTCAGAGACTCGTCCTCGGTGCACGCCACGGACTGGAGACAGAAGAGGTCAGAGGTCAGGATTTAAGTACAACAAACGAAGCTGAAATAACATCAAAAAGTCTGAGTTCATGTTTCATTAGTTCTCTCCGCAAGACGACAAGCAAGCAGCTTTTAAAACGCTTGTTTTCTGAATGGAGTTTGGTTTGATCTATGCTAAGCTAACATCGTAGCCGCTCCATCGACACTCAACAGAACGTCTTAACTTCGGCATAAACAGCAGCAACGTTAGTTTACACATATATTTGTGTCGTAGATCTACGTCTTCAGTGGGAACCAATGAGCTCGGAGCTGAGAGACACAGACAGGAAGTGAGACAGGAAGTGAGACGGACCAACACGTTGTTAGCCGACAATAAGAAAACTCCAGCAGCTGATCAGATCTAATGGTTGTTGCCAGGTAGGAATGTCCTGAATGTCCTGAGAAGGCCACCGTACTCACTCTGGTTTCTGGGTCGATGGACGCCGTGACTCCGTCCACAGTCACACTAAAGTCTTCACCGTCTCTGAAGTTCACGCAGTCGTCTCCGAACATGTCGCTGCAACACACACGACAACGTTAAGTCTGAGCTCTTATTTTGAAAATCACTGCATCTCTACAGATACGAGCTTCTTCAGCTCTTCTCTTCTTTTAGCTGCATCGTGTTTCTAGATCGACTGTAGACACAATGAAGAGGCATCGTTATGATCTGTAAACTCATGTTCATAAACTACTTTACTAATTTATACAAGAACTGTACAGAAACAAGTCAAGTATTAAATGTGTTGTAAAGAAACAAAGGTTGAATATCCTATCCAGAGACGGTCACGTGATCACGTAACTAAACCTGAATCTAAACCCGAGCCCAACTCTAAACCCGAGTCCAACTCTTGAGGTGCCCACAGATTCACAGTTCTACTTCTTTCACTACTAGAACAGTAACATTTGAACAGAAAGCGGTTAATGATGTGAAAATGAACCACAGCTTTTAACACCCATAATTAGAGAAAACATGAATAAATTCATGGAGTATGAAACTTGATCTCTTGTATAATCAGGCCTTCACTAAGAGCTCCTCTCTTTGTTGTGAAGTTCAGCCTTCAGCGATGAAATACCTTAAATCTTTAGACACGAGGTCACGAGACTACAGACAAGACAAGTTGGTCTTTATCTGACCGTCATTCAGTTTCTCTCTCAGCAGCACTGATCACAATACAACTCTAACGTCAGACTTAACTGCTTAGTGTCAACAGCTTCATCAATATCTGGGTTTAAGCTTTTTTTAAAAAGAAGATGTGATCAAGTTTGAATAATTTTTCAGTGAGAGTCAGACTCCGCCCGCCTGGCACCTCAGGGCTGCGTGAATCAAAGGTCCAGCAGGTGTGTGAACTGTACTCACTGCAGCATGAGCTCCAGCCTCTCCATGAACACCTCCATGTCGAACGTTTCCTTCTTGCCTTCCAGAACTGAAACAAACAAAGAAACGTTAGATTGTTTCTGTCGATCAGTTAAACGTCTCACAGCGGTCGTTTACTCACACTTCTGGGCGTTGGGGTTGGACTGGACCTCCAGGACCACCGTAGTGACGGCATCAGCGTACATGTCGTTGAGCGGGTTGGCGATCCACTGAGGATGAGAACGTTCAAAGGCTCAGATACATTTGAGGTGAAATGAAAAATACTCAACAAAATGTTAATAACATGTTAATGTGTCTTACTGAAGACATTCATCAGCCTCAGATGTGTTTACTGAGTTAGCCAGCGTTAGCATGCTAACATTAGCATGCTAACACGCCAACATGATGAGGGTGACAAAAGACCCTCATTAGACTTTAATTGTAGAATCATACTTGATTAGTCAGTTTGGACAACGAGAACAAACAGCATGATCTAAACAACATGAATCGATGATGAGGCCACTTGTTGCATCTCATTCATAACACATGACGACGACCAAAACAGGTAAATATACAGTTAATATAGTAATATAATATAGTATAGCTGTTATTTGTGTTGCTGCAGAGAGTGAAATGTATTTAAACTGTCTGGCTTTAAAAACTTGTTGTGAGAGGTTTTAATATGTTTATTCTATATTTGAGGAACAGTTTGTGCCTCTGACCTCCAGCAGCACCATCCCGGCCTCATGAACTAGAGTGATGCTCTTAAAGATCCGGACGGTGATCTTCTCCGCTCCCTCCACCTGCTCCACGTCTCCTGAAAGTACACAAAGTACACGGTAACTTTATTATCCTGTCGTGTTTTAAACTGTTTCTGATGAAAGAAAACATTCCTGATGTGTTTCTATGCAGACGACATTAAACTAAACTTGAACAAGTATTCACTTTGTTTCTTGAAGTAAAATTAACGACACAATGTCAAAGTCTTAAGTTAAAGCACAGAAGTATTATTAGTGTCAAAGTAAAAGTACTCTTGTAGAAAATGACACTTTTAAATAATACGTGAATTTGTTTGAAGTTGTTCTACAGACAAGAGAAACGAGCTGCACCAGAATTATAAAATAACTAACTTGATTTAGTTTGAAAACATGTTGGAATATTCTAAGAAAATACAACTTCAAGAACTGGATTTAAAAGTAAAATGATATCATACAATTTTTTGTGTCATATCTTAAAAACATCTGCAAAATAACTTTAGTTGTGTATTAAATGTAGAGCAGTAAAAGGTACAATATGTCCCTTTGAACTGTAGAAGTATAAGGAAACAATACTCAGATATAAAAGTACAAGTACCTTGAAATTATACTAAAGCACAGTGATTTATGAGTAAATACTTATTTACGTCCTACTTATGTTTTTAATCCAACACTGGAGAGTATATTTTAATTCATGATTGTTTTAACATGTTTAAATTATAAACTTAAAAACAAATATATGAAAAGAAGAAAAACATTTCAGAAATTAAGTTAATCAATTATTAATAATAATAATAAATTCAAATCTTACTAGATAATAAAAATAATAATAATAATAAATTGATAACCAACCTGCGAGGCTGCGTAGCTGGCTGACCAGCAGTGAGATGGGGCCGGTGTATGGGATGGCCTGAGTCTGAGTCACTGTGCTCATACACAGATCTGTGTAGTCTGAACAAAGACAGGAGGGCACACACAGTCACCACACACTGGGGAAAACCACAGCACCTGAACACAACACACAGGGATGTGTTCAGGGACGCAGCAGCAGCAGCAGGACTAGAATAATAACATCTTTACTCTGTGGTGAGTTAAAATCTATTAGTTTATAGGTTCATTAAACAATAAAGGAGTGAGTGAGGAGCAGCCAAAATGTCCTCATAATACAGAAATGTCCTCACAATGATGGTTCAATACTCGGTCCCCACAAAGATAGACGTACAAGTACACACACAGAGAGAGAGAGGGTGTTACTGACTGGAGAGGTCGGAGGGCGTCACGATGTGATAGTTGAAGTTCCTCTTGACGAGGATCCCGGAGACCCTCTGACCCTGAGCGCACTTCCTGTCGGTCAGAGAGCCCATCACCTGCAGCAGAGCATGCTGGGAGTTAACGTGGCCGTACAACACACAGCTAATCGATAACACCGACCGACGGAGGACTCGGACGAACCTTCGCCAGCTTCTCTCCTCTGAAGTTGAGCGTGACGGCTTCGGTGTTTCGCGGGTTGTGGACTTCGATGTCGACCTCGTCGTTGTCTTCGTACTCGCGGATCAGAGCCGCTTTCAGTCGGGCCATCTCGTTCTGCTCGCCGTGGACCAGAATCTGGAGACGCAGAAACAAAGCTCAATGCTAATGCTGGCATGCCATGCTAACACATTATTTAGTATATCAGCAGTAATGTTAGCATGCTAATGTTAACGACTTAATCCCTTTACTAGGAAAGTGTTTATGAACATTTAATATGTTGCCGGGTTTTTATCATAATTCATGAATCTATTCAAACATTCCTTTGATCCCTCTGTTGTTTTTATCTTTACTTATTGAAGGTGTGATTACCACGTGAGGCGGTTTGAGAGCTCGGATGAACTCGCTGGTCTGCTGGTAGTCGGTGTGAGCGGAGAAGGAAATGTAGTCCACGGACATCTTCAGAGGAAGCTTCTGACCTGACATGGTGGCGATCTCATCGGGCTCAGTCATGATGTGCTGGAATCAAACACACGGTTCTCTCATTACACCTGTAGAACCTTTAGACTGGAGCACGCACGCACGCACGCAC